AATGATCCGCCCTTTGACAGTGGCATTCATACATCCAATCCCAATACGCATGGGTAATCATAATTTCGTTAATCTGTTTAGAAACCCACTAATTCGATTTATATTTGCAGCTACAATGTGCAAATCCAGAGCACTCCAACCTTGGCTTCCTCAACGCCGAGTCAGGGCTCACGGCCTGACACTGGCATCTCCATGCAATCGCAATCAATATCATCTGCCTCGAAGAGCTTAAAGAGCACAGTGCGCCCTGGTGCCGGTACCGACGCTGTGCCTAGCATTACCAAAGAGATTAACTCGGGTCTGCTATCCATGAAGAAGGGCTTCTCCAGTTTTATGACTTCCATTGATTCGGCCATTAAATCGGGCACGCCCAACGATGATGCCAGTGATACCTTCTCTGTACAAAGTGACATAAGCTCCGATTCAGAGAACTTTGCCATAGTAATGGGCGACGACAAGACCATGGACTGCATGGATGTTATGTTCCGTCTCAATCCATTTACGACTGACAACAATATGAAGGCCTCTCCAGTCGAGGTAGCCAGTGAGGTGTACGAGGAGCCTAGCAGCTATAAGACAAACATGTCCTCGCCCTCGGAGCCCTCAGAGGCAAGCACCTGGCGTCGACGGGATCTGGTCTCCATGGCCACCTTTAGGTTGCAATTGCACGCTACGTAGTTTGATAATTCAGCGACTTAATCAAAGCTATTTTTGAAAACATAGATTGACCACTGTGGAGCTCATACGCCAGCAGGAGGGTCCAAAGTCCTCGGTGCGTCTGCAAGTGGCTGCCATTTCTTGTGATGAGTGTGGCGCTATACCCTGGGATGAGTTGCAGGTGCGCAAGATTTTAAGTTTTCTTACTTTAATTTACGTTATATTTTTATTTGGAGTGCCTACATATTTCTTTTATTATATGACTTATGTTTTGTATATAAGCAAATCAGTTCGTTACGTTTCTTTAAATTCTCAAATATTTTCTTTGAACCTTTTGCCGACTCTAAATTAAGTGTTATTTGCTCAACTTTCCGTAACGTATTCTGCATGCTCCGATTAATTTAAATATTAAGAAAAAAAAAAAAAAATACAATAATTAAAATTATTATGACTGTAAGATAAACTTCTCATATAATCATTTTCTCATTATATTTTCTCTTTTCTCTAAAACCCGAATATGTACTCATATAAAAAAACGATCTCAATGTGTGCTAATTAAATACGAATATTGTGCTCAACGTATAATTTACTCTATAATCAACAACGAACACTTTGTAAATTAACGTACAACATCTACATGACACATTATATAAAAAACAACGACAACAACAACAACCAACACTCTTCAACAACAACAAAACAGATCGCGCATCAAGCGAACAAGGTATAAAAAAAGATCAACTACAAAATTGAAATTCTTTTCTAAAAGCTAATTTTTGGTTTGTTTTGCTGCTTTTGTATATACTTACTAAACAAATATTTTATGCCCTTTTTTTTTTCTTTAATTTTACAGTTTTTGAACATTTTATTGTAGTTTACAAATTTTGGTTGGCTTTTTGCCAGCGCTGTTGCAGTTTGAAAGCGTTTTTGGCCAATAGTTAAGGTTGTTACATTGTATTTGTTTATATGAATATGCTAGCTGGAACCGGGTTACTTATCGTATATAAACCGTGAATTTACCCAAAAATATTAAAAATCTCAAATATAGGCAGCTTTTTGAAATTGTTTATTGTTTAATACGAATGTTTTTAAGCATGCCTCTTCCATGCGCCTCTACGCCTCTGTCCATTGGGCGTTTCAGATAACAAGTATATAGTATAGTTTGTACTCAATCGATTTTTTTGTAGTGTTTAGTTTTATTTATCGTTTTTTCTTGGATTTTATGTTGCAAATTGGCTTGGTTATACCTTCATTTAGGTTTAAAGGCGTTTAACACCCAAACTGGGCATATACTCATAACGAACACAACAAAGACAACACTAACAGAAACAATTAATTTGGCTTAATAATTGGCACGCTACTTAAGACCTTAATGCCAAATGAATCAGTATCTTAGTCCTAATATCACAATCAGTTAACTCGTAATTAGCTCTGCTTAGTAGACTATCTTTAACGTCATTTAACACACCTAATCCCTCTATCACACACACACACGCGCACACACACACACATATATATATATATATAAAGCATATTGCATGTGTGTGAGTGCTTGATGCTTAACATGTTCGTAGTTGTATGCATGCATATCTACTTACTAATACTGTAGTATTATTATGTGGGTTATGGGTTCATATTGATTTATGTTGTTGCACATTTGCAGACAAAGTTTGGAGCGCGTTGTAAGTCCTGGAATCTGGCGCCATACAATCCAGAAGCGCCGCCCTGCATTAGACTGCGCCTCGAAGAGACACTTAACATGCCAAAGGAAATCGAAGGCATCATCGATCGCAAACGTATTCAAAGGTAGTTAGTCTCCAATTTTAGGCTGAAATCATTTTGAATTAATATTTTCATTTAACAATAGCTGGTTTACACATCATGCCGAGATACACGTTAAGGACATTAATATAGATCTGTCCATGAGCACAGTTATAGGTCTGGGTGATCTGGCTGAGGATGAGATTATTTCATCGCCCATGCCCCTTACGGTAGAGTTCTTTTAAAATCTAAAATATTTATAATTACTGATTTGTCTTACATTTTTAATTAGATAAATCTGGAAAACGTGCGTATTAATTTGTTGGAAGATCGCCCGCCCGTCAATATTACTTCACCGGGCCCAGTGCCTATTAATCTGTGCATCGGTCGCATGCACTTGGAGCGCGACAAGAGTGGTCAAATCAATATACAGCCCATAGGCGAGTATAAGTCTTTATCATGCTATTTAACATTTTTAAAAACTTGTTACATTTGCAGATACAAACATGACTTTTGAGCAGCATCAGGCATTAGGTGGCGTGTTGCGTGGAATTCCACGCGAACGTGATCGAGAGCTGCTTTCTATGCAGCTTGTCATGCAGCAAATGAAGCTGGACAATGAGCACATGCGCAAACAACTTGTCGATTCCAAAATCAACACAGATAATTATAGGTTAGTGTGTTGCGCTTTGGAATGATAAGCATTACAATTAACTTGAATTCTCAAATGCATAACAGGCAGAAGACTAAACAGGAAACAGATGTCTTACGGTCGTATTTAAAGGCAGCACAGGATGACATAAGCATATTGCTAGAAGAGAAGAAAGCATTGCTGGATACTATACGCTCACTGCAGGTGTGCATGCATTTCTTTTTTTCAATATTACATTGCACTGATATACAAACCCACACTCATTTAATTGTCATCTCTATCTGTACACCTCTAAATGTTGTTTGTATGTTTTTGTCACTTTACACGTTTTGTACTTGTTGTTGTGCGTGAGAAGTTAAAACACGTTAGCGTTAAGAATAACACAAATAATAATGCAAGGACTAAAGGTCAGTCACTTATTGCACGCATGAACCTTGCTTATGTAAAACATACACACTTAAATACCCATTTGTATTTCCAACTGCAAACCTAAAAGGCTGCCACTTAATGCTGTTTTTCCTTTATAGATACAACTGACCTCATCGAATATAAGCCGGAAGAATGATGGCAACAGGTAGCACAACTGCATGGACTGCATACAATGCTGCGGCGAGAACAATAACGCCTAAGCTTAGTATGCATAGTCAATGCCAATGCTATGTAAAACACGTCCTCGATATTTGTCATTTGGTTTTAATCATCAATCACTGCGTTGAGTTTAGCAGAAGACTGAGCCGTACTGAATACGGACACTATTCACGTTGCCGTTCGTCGTCATATACTTACGTACATAGTTAAACTATATACTATACTATTATAAACTATACTATAAATATTTGTATTTGTTTTATTATTTTTAAGCTAGATAACGACATTTGCTACTGTTCCAAAGAATGTTTTCCTTTTACAAAATGTTTCATTCTTTTTTTTATTGTTTTTGTTTTATTATTATTGCTTAGACTTTTAAAGCAGCAATTTTTAAAATATATATATATATATATACATTTACATATATTTATAGTACATTGTTAATTATTTTAAAACGAGTAAATCAAATGAATGTATTGCTACCTGTATATGTAACTATGTAATTCTTCATTGATATTACGCCCAACTAAAACATTGTATATTAAATAGATATTGATAACACATTGTTGTGATTCATGATCATATCAAAAATACTAAATTCTAGTAACTATACGTATTATTTACTAATCTAATGTCTATGTGTATGTATTGCTGTTGTAATCGATGTGCTAAATAGCAAAAACAATTGGCCAAATCTATAAACTAATAAGTATTGAGGACTAGCACTCCATGTTATTTAAATTTCGTATTCAAATTCAATTCATTCCAATTAAATTGATTATCGTTTTATTTACACAGTTTCTCACACATACAACACTAATCAACATGTTCTACTCTCAACTAAATCAAAAGTACCATATTATACATCCAATATAAAAACTCAAGTAAGTAACGCATATACAAATTTTGAATTAATAGTTTTCTTATTGCAAATTAAAATCAAATATTTATACAAAGCATATACAAAAATACATAAATGTATATACGAATACTGCGTTTGCTGCTTACGAATGTAAAAATGAACAATTTAATAATATTATATGTATTTGAAATATACTAGTGAAAACATGAATATATTGATTGTTATACATGCATATATAATGAGAGTTTGCATATGTAGCTAGGCAAAACAAGATAACGAAATTGAATTTGCAATAAATATTGAAAATTAACAAAATGTTAGATATGTTTTTCTTGATTAAATTATTTTTGTGATGGATCTATTTTCGGAACAGTCCATTAATCTATCTGTCTATCGATTAAACTATCATAATAGCATTGTAAAAGTATTAAAATATAAATTCAATGGCAGTAGGCCTTGCTTGAAGCCTGCTAATTGAGTTTGGGAAAAAGGTAACGCATCCCAATAAGGCGCTTATAATAATGGAGGCATGCAGACTGAAAAAGGCGGATATTAAACGCATGTGGAGCCAGATTGTAACTCAAACGGGCATTGACAAATATACCTATGCAGAATGGCAGGAAAACTACGAGGAGTTCTGGAAATGCATGCTGTCTACCTCGGAGCCCTACATAAGAATTCAAAGTGTAACTGCAGTTGACGTAAAAGATTTATAATATTTTCCTAACCAATAATTTCTGTGTATTTGTTTTTAGATAGAGCAACTAACGCGAGCACATGTCAACCAACTGCAGCTGCCAATTGCTAAAAGCAATCCTCCAGCTAAACCTCAACCCGCGAAGCAGCAACCAGTCAAAATACCTGGCATGTCGGAGTCGATATCCATGTTACGTATACCACGCCTAAAACCTGGACAACAGACAACAAAGAGCAGCTCTGATTCGCTTGGCTCCGTGAAGAATACACAGCCTGACTGGAAACCTGGACAGGAAAATATTCCGCAGCAGCACCAACATCAACAACCACAACAACAACAACTGCAACAACCGCAACAACAGCAACTGCAACAGCCACAACAACAGCAACATTTAGTTCCGCAAAAGGTCGGTAATTAAATAAACATTCTTTTAGGAAACTGGCTATTTTATTAATATGCAATATTTAAATTCATGTAGACATCCAGACTAGCACATGAACAAAGGCAATACATTCCGGTTCAACAGCCGAAGCAAGTGCTACAACAGCAGCCACCGACACAGCAAAGTAAACAAGGTGTGGAAAAGAATCTGTTGCAGCAGTCACAGAATGTTCCACAAGGAGAAGAAGAGCAGCAACAACAACAACAACATCAACAACAACAACAACAACAACAACAACAACATTTTCAGCAACATCGAAAACCGCAGCCTCATTGGCCTGGTAGCTATCAGTCCATGGAGCAAACGCTGCAGCCACAATCGAAAGATCAACTGCAACAACAATTTCCACTGCCGCACAAGATTCTGGAACAACAGATTAAAACTTATCCACGCCCATGTCAGGATAGATCACGTCCATATCAACGGCAGCCACCCAATAGATCAAAGTCTAGTCAACCGATTATGAATGAGCGGCTTCAAACTCAAACCAACGAGGTACATTTTTTATTATATTTATAATTTATTTTATCCCATCATTTTTTCTGTGTAGCTCCAGGGCGTCCCGCTTAGCTCGGCCCAGGAGGTCTACGAGCGTCAGCGAGAAATGCTCTTTAAGCCCTTAGCCGAGCAAGTCAAGACTATTAACAAAATCAATGATAGCAGGGGAAAGATTGAGTCGGGCACCGATTGCGAATTAGAAAATAAGTTAATTGCCGATGCCTTAAAACTGGCTAATAAAGTCGGTAAGGCCGATAATACAGCCAAAGTAAATAAGATCAGCCCAGAAATAGCCTCAAGTAATGGTGAGAAAATATACGATTGGTTGCAGAGTTTCGATGACAAGGCTTCAAAAGCAATTGATCATAAGATAACAGATACTGCCGATTTTTTTAAAAACTTACCCAACCTTTCGACGGTAATTGGAAAAACGCCGCACGAACTAAAGGTGGCAATACAAAATGTAATTATCTGCGAAGGTATGGAAGACGATAAGCCCAATATTGAACGACAGAACCCGCAGGCGTATAAAAAAGAAATACAGTCAAACCATCTAAATGTGTCCAATTCAATTGCAATTCCCCTTCAATTTGAATTAAATAGCAATAAATGCAAAAAAAAGGAGAACAACTTAAAGCAATTTGCTTAAATAAACATGGTTTTTAAATATGTTCGAATAGTCGAAATAATTTATAATTATCGAGGAAACATTTATTACATTCTATCCCGCACTTAATATTTTAAAGTCTATTTAAATTCCATAAAAGAAAACAGCTGTATGGTATTTAAATAAATTGTATTTTATATTAAGACACGATGAAAATTTCAATTTAAAATCCAATTTTTAAAGTTCAAAAGAGAAATTATATATACTTTTCACGGTTCTTAAGGCCAATTGCACAGGGCACAAGAAACGCAAGCTTTACGGAAACTTAATCAACCGGCTTAATTTAGTTATGTATTTAATAATTTATAGATTTCTGACGATTTCTGTGAAACAAAAGTGTATTTAACTTTTGATTCATTTGCATAATCTGTATAGGTAGGCGGTGTAGGTAGTGTATTGAGTGGTCGACCTTATATAATATATCAACTGCTTTGTGCGCACGGCAACATGAACAAGCAGTTTACAGGCTACGACAGGCAGGCAGTGCAAGCAGTGCGCAGGAAATTTAAAAGAAAAAACCAATTACACTCCCTTTCCATTTCAACGTCAGATTTATATCACAAAAGATCGTTTGCGGTGAAAGGCGCACAAAACATGTAAAACACTTTACATAAATTGCATTAAAAGGACACAACAGAAGCGACAACAACAACAAATCGTTGCAATAACGTTGTAGGCTGCAAACCAAAATTGAATTTGCGGTTTTTGCGTTTGGGCCAAGTTGTAGTTGGCCCGACGTTGGACGGACAAACTGAACAAGTGGGTCTATTGTACCTATGTGCAAACCGAAACACAAAAGCTAGATGAGACAACGCAACAAATAACTGTAAATGAAGCTAAAATGTGGTCAGTAACTGCGGAGACCGCACAATAAAAAAAAACGACTTCTGGCTGGGAGTGTCCGACTAGTCCGATATATTTGAGGCTTAAACATAGAACACATATATATTTTTTGCTCAATTGTTCGTTAACTAACTTAAACTGTTACTAACTTATCAATACGGGAATGTACAGACGGACGGTCCGATAGACAGACAGACAAAATAGGCTGTTGATGCTTCTCCTTTTGCTGGTTACACACATTCACACAGGTATACAGGGTATACAAAAAAACACGCGGGTACCCTTTTAATAATGAGCTTCCTGCTCGAGTATCATTTTCACTCACACCAAAATGCGTATGCCCAACTGCCTGGGCTGCAACATTCACATGGCTGGATGCGACGCGCCTCGCGGCAGTTTGCGCCTGGAAATGATGTGGCATGTGGTTAGTTGTGGCCACGCGCTGATGACTGACTGACGGGACAAACTTTTTGCCACTGCCTGGCAACTGGTTAAAGTTGGCCCAACAGTAGATCAGCCAGCTGGCCATGTTTAAATGTTTAAAACACAGCCAGACACAGGCTTAACAGTCAAACGTGCCAGAGACATGTACAACATTTTCCCACCAGCATTTGCAGTTGCCTTAACTAGAGCAGCTGCGGCAGCATTAGCAGCAGGAGGTGCTGCAGTGCCAGGAAATGGATATGGTTTACACGGCACACAGTGGCAGGCTGTCAAGATGGGGCTGCTGCATGTGTACATTAGTTTCCATTTAAGCAGAAAAGCACCAACATTAAAGTTTATACAAATTAACAAATTCTTGATATTTGATTGAAAGGTCAAGATTTCTAGATTAACACATATAATGATAGTGCTACATTTAGCATTTTAAAGCTACAATAATGCAAAAATAATTAAATTTTAACTTCGAATTTACAAATCTGATTTTATGAACATTATAAGATATCTAAAAATATATAGAGCGTATTTTCGGTATTTGATCAAGTTATGTGTAAGAACATTATATTTGACTAATTCTCAAGGATATGCGAGAAAGTAATCCGATAATTCCGATAATCGATAACTTACTCCGTTTCCAAGCAATCGATAAAAAATATCGAAAATAATCGATATCGATATCCTGTTTTTTGGTAAATAATAAGGGCTAGAGTATGCATTTGATGTTGGAAGAAGAGGGTTCAGGGTATCCCCTAGTCGGGAGCTTCCGACTAGACTCTCTTACTTGTTTATACTTATATATGCCTTAACTTTTCACTCTCTTTCAATCAGTTCTTGAGTGTAATCTCTCTCTATGCTAATCTCCAAAACTCTTCCAAATTTTTAAAAATTATTTTGAAGCCGAACGGTTGGTAAACGAACAAATCAGAGGCTGTTATCGTCAAACAACTTTTGATCCGCACCGAGGAATCATAAATTCCCCAAAAATTTTCATAAAGAATTTTAGGAACAAATTTGAGTCCGAAAAAATACCTAACAACCCTCGAGTAAAGAAGAGTTTCATTGAAATGTTTTTTTTTTTCGCGATTTTTCGACGTATAGGGTTTTTATTAGTGAGTATCAGCACATGCCAAACCTTTTTGAACCTTTTCTAGCCTTCTATATAAAGAAGATGTCGCCATTGTAATCAGCGATGATTGACCATACCGTCATCACTGGCTTTGACTTTAACAGAGGCCATTATACACAGTCGCACGAACTCTGACAAAGTTGACCAAGTTTTAATACCCGAAGCTGTCCGTGTTGCGCATATGTAATCCCATTAAAATCCAATAAGTTAAATTATTTCCATTATTATTATGTGAGCGCACTTTGTCGCTGGCTGTTTCCAGCTCAACTTTGGTGTCCAGCGTCCTGTGTCCGTCCATGTCCTGGCCGATAACTGCTTCTGTGGGCGTTTATCTCGCATTGCTGGCGTGTCCAGCTGTCTGTGCGGCGGCACTTTTGACCAATATCTGCAACACTTCAAACTCATCCCGGCCATTCTGTGGTTACGGCCATTGGCTTCTGTTGGCCATTAAATTGCATTACGGCCGACAATCATTGTCATTGTTGTTGTTGCTCTTCTTGCGTCATGTAATTTCAGTAATTTCGTTGTCTGTTTTTGTCGTTGGCCTTTTTAATTACTTTGCATTTTGATGTGTGCTAATGCTTAAGCCACTCAGCTGTAATGCCACTTAAAGCCAGCTCGTGTACGCCTACGAAATGTACTTTTACTGATTACCAAAACAGCTGGATCAAAGTATAAAGTATATTCTGGATTCAGGCGGGCTTAAGCTCAACCGTCTCGTACTGAAATTCCATTTAATTTCTGAGCAGGAGCCCAATCTTAAGACAGTTGAAACAGAATACATATTTTTCAAAGTCAGTTCTGTATAAAATATCGATATCAGTCTTTTAAAGAGTAGTTACAAGAATTTTCCTTAAAATATTTGAACTCTTCATTAAAAAAAAAAAGAAAAATTGAAATGAATAGTTAGTCGTAAATTCAAGTAATGTTGAGAATGTATGCGAAATTGGAATGGAAATAGTTAATGTCATTTTCTAGGCATTATAAATCGATGAAAAGTATCGAGTCAACGCAAGACAAATAGTTAAAATCAAAGCGGAAAAAACACACGCATAAGCAACCAAATAACAATAAAAATAACGTAAAACTGTTGTACGACAAATTTAGCAATGGGCAACATTTATCGTTAATATTTTTGTCTGCCAAATGGCGGACAACAGGAAGAACGATTTTCAGCTTGGCACCGAAAGGCGCTTATAACAAGTATACGCCGTGTATGCCAAGCAGTCAAAATCAGAATTTCCGAAAAAGCAATAGAAAGGATGTGGCTGGCGGGGTGGATGGGCAACACTGTGGCATGGGTAACAGAAATTTTATGGTTCGTGAACATGCGGCAAAAATTAGAAGCCAAGCGTTGCAAACTGAACACAAAACACACGACTGACAACGGAAATTGTGCGAATGGCGAAAGGCAAAATCGACGCAAAAATAACACGCCGAAAATATCAACAACAACAGCAACAACAACAACAATAATAACATTGGCAACTGTAGTTGCACTGACACCAAATATTGGAATAACAACAACAAATGAGCTCAAGTAAGTGTGCTCTAGTCGGGAGTGCCCCACTTGATGTTACCTTTCACTCAGCGCCAAGCTATCTTTAAAAACTTTTCCATATCTACAAAAAAAAAAGGCACGTTTTCGAATATCTTTGGTGTTTATGCGACGATCCTTAAGATATTTAAGATTATGACCAAAGCTACACATCCAAAATGTGAGCATTTTTTTTCAATTTCGCGAGCGAGTTATACAAAAAAAAAATAGGGTGTTCTTGATCAGTTAGTAAAGTAAGTTTTAAAGGTTTTCTTTCTTTCGAAATTTTCAGGTTTTATTAAGAAAAATGGTTGCAAATCGATTCAATTCAAAGTGTTGTCCATCGCTAGCCAATACTTTTATATATAATATTTTATAATATATGTCGAATTTGATTTCTCAATACTTATTGATTTCGCTAGAGCGAGATAAGTTATAGATGATTTGCTGATAAACTTGATCATGGAATAGAGAAACTTACGTTCTAAAATTTGAAGACCCTGGACAGACGCATATATAGACAGATAGAAAATGTAAACTTTATGGGAATATGCCGCCTTTTGTCTGCTTAAAACATTTTCGCAAAACCATAACATCCTTTGCTACTCTCTACTAATGTTTAGAGGGTATAAGAACAACAACACTAGGCAAACTGCGCAATAACAACAAACATAATATGGCAATCGAACGACGCTTATGAGTATGTGTGTGTGCGTGTGTTTGTATGCTTAACAACTCGCCAGTGTCTGTTGTTGTGCATAGTTACATGTGCGACATGTGCGACATGTGCGGAATATGCACAGATTGCATATCGCAAAAAGTTGGCTTTAAAAATAAACAAATAAAGAATCAAAGGTTCCGCCTTTGTTTAACTAATAAGCTAGGCCCATGTGGGCCTGCTTCAAACAGAGTTTACTATAGCAACATTTTTAAAGCTGAGAAGCAGATGGCATAATTTGATCATGAAAGAGAAGTTGGAGATACTTTTAGGATCAGTATCAAAAACCGAGTATCTGTGCAATTAAGACTCGTGTT